GCTTGTTGCAAAACACATAGAAGGAACCAATCGCGTCCGGAACGACCCCAGCCGCAACCGCCGCACAGACGAGGTACCTTTCATCGCCGGCTGCAGCCACTTTACACGGAAAAACACAAGGTTTCGTGCTCCGGCTTCCTCCCCAAAACATAGCCCATGCAACATTCATGCAGCCATTCCATTGCAATCTGCAACCAGGGATTCAAGAACCGCATAGGACTACGCACACAGGAACAACCACTCGCTGCAAAACTCAAAGTCAGTTCTTTCCTGATGTATTGTCATGTAGTGTAAAGTCTCACAACCACCCTTCATCAAAGTAAGTTCTTTCCTGATGTATTGTCATGTAGTGTAAAGTCTCACACCACCCTTCATCAAAGTCAGTTCTTCACTCATGTATTGTCATGTAGTGTAAAGTCTCACACCACCCTTCATCAAGGTCAGTTCTTTTCTGATGTATTGTTATGTAGTGTAAAGTCTCACACCACCCTTCATCAAAGTCAGTTCTTTTCTGCTGTATTGTCATGTAATGCAAAGGCTCACACCACCCTTCATCAAGGTCAAGTCTCACTCGCGCACCACCCTTCATCATAGTCAATTCCATCAAGTAAAAGTCATTCGTAACTCGGAAGTATTGCTTCCCAACTTCCTTTGATAAGCACCAACAATGTTCCTCATTCGCAGACATAAATATGCAAGAAATCAAAGGGGATACCAATGAACATGTTCTTTTATCCCTGTGAACTGTACGTCTAACTGTCACTTGTCTTCGCCTAAAGATGCACAGGTTGGGTGTCCCAATGATTTTTGGATCCCCCTTGGGCTCAAAAAAAGGATGGCGATTTATGGCTTTAAAATCATCCACAATAAACCCAGGAACTGTAGGTTGAACCCCACCGGACCATTGAATCTCCACCCATCAGTTGGGTATGTGGCTCTAATGGGACCTTCACCTTCAACTTGGAGACTCATCTTAGTGTTTGTGGTTAATAGCCCTGGTTCGGGAGTCCTCTAACTTCAATGGCCATTCCAGGATCCTAAATTGGAGGTACCTACCATGTATAAGGCCTATATAAGGTACAGTACCTCCAATTTAGGATCCTGGAATTCCCATTGATAACTGGCTTATCCCATTTATAAATGGACCAGCTCCAGGTACGCTCTCCACTTGCGAGCCGTGACGCTCTCCCCACCTGTTTGATGAGTTCTGGTCCCGCCTGTGCCCGTCCAAGCGTCGCGCGCCATCTCTGATGGATTTTACTCCCCGATTTCGCAGTTGGAAATCCCTCTTTGTAGAGGATGTACCCTCTGGTTATTTAACATAGCCATGGGAAATGGCCCATTTATAGATGGTTTACCCATTAAAAATGGTGATTTTCCATGGCTATGTTAAATAACCAGATGGTACATGCTTTTAAAAAAGCAATGGAAGAAACAAGTGGTGCCAGATGTGTTTGGGTACAATGGATATCTCTGAAACTTGGGAGAACCACTTGAGGGACGGTGAGGTGGGTAAACCTCTGGTGCCCTGATGGAGTTGTAGCCCTGGAAACTTTAAGGTCACATACATCCATGAACTACATATGCTAGATGGGTATGGGTCAAAAGCCCATACCCCTGCTGAATCCCAAAGTAGCTGGCAAATGGATTTTCTTTCAAAAAAAAATATTGTATCTTAGGTTTCGACCCATACCCACCCTGCCATGATTGCAGGTGCTGTCCCCGAGTATTGTTGGATACATCACAACCATTTCTGATACTCACGTGTTTGCTTGTCAAATACCACATTCATTGTTGGCTATTGCTCGATCTAAGTAAAGAATCTTCGCAATCTTCCCTTGGATTTGCTTAAGGGGTTCCCAAAAAATAAAAAATATTCACATGTAGATTCCCCAAATGCTGGATTTTCCATTGGGAAAATAAAAAAAAATCGCCTTAAACAAACCCATGTTTCTCAAATCATTCCAGAAAAATATGCAAAATAAACCGTCTGGCATGAATTGCAGTTGTCATTTGCCGGGTACCTACAGAACATGCTTCATGGCGCCCTTTCCAGGACGCAATGAAAGTCTGTATGGAAGGGTTCGAAACTAAAAGCATTCGCTGCCTCATCACTGCCATGGCCGCTGTACAGCAAAGTTGGAAGCTTCCTGGGTTGAACGGAAACAGCTGAGCCCTATCTGCCCATCAACGCAACATCTAATTAATGTGGCAAACCCGATGGTAACCCCAAGTGGGTATGATTACAGCATACATACATACATACATACAGACAGACAGACAGACATACATTACATACATAACATACATATATACATACATACATACATACATACATACATACATACACACATACATACATTACATTACATTACATTACACTACACTACACTACACTACACTACATTACATTACATTACATACATACATACACACACGCATACATACACGCATACATACACGCATACATACATACATACATACATACATACATACATACATACATACAGACATACACGCATACATGCATACATGCCATTACATACCATTTCATACCATTTCATTACATTACATTTCCTTATGTTACATTACATACATACATTACACCCCATTCATTACATATATGGCATAACAAAACATAACATTACATTACATGCACACATACGTACGTACGTACATACATACATACATACATTACATCACATACATTACATACATCCATAGGCAGACAGACAGACAGACAGCCAGCCAGCCAGCCAGCCAGACAGGCAGGCAGACAGACAGACAAACAGACATACATACTACATACATATATATATAGATATACATACATACATTACATGTATATACATATGTACACACACATGTAGAATTAGTTTGGCATGGAATTCTCGGGAGGCCTGTCTAGCCCCATGAAATACCACTTTTGGCATCAAGATATTTTTGGAAAAACCAACAGGCTGCTCTTGTCGGACAGCGGCTCCAAGCAGATCTTGGTGAGTCACGCGAGTCGCCATCGCCACGTTTGGAGAAGCAAAAATCAAAACCAAAAAGAGAAGCCAAAAGCACAAAGAGAAGCCAAAAACAGAATCAAACTGTGCGACAAAAGAAGCAAAAAACGAATAGCAACAAAAAGTAAATACTGGTTAGTGTGCTTGTTGTGCTTTTGGCGTGTGTTCTCTTGCTTTGTTCATTTGAGTTTTTTTCAAGGGCTTCAGCCAGGCTGTTTTAGGACACTTAACCATGGAGTATCATGGGATATTTTTGGGGGGCAACGACCAAGAATCTGAAGGCTGATGGATGATTCTTGCATAAGAAATTTCATATGATGGGGGTATCGGGGGATATAAAACCAACTATAGGGGGTTCTTTTTTGGGGGATCATCAACTATCATACAGACAATGGAAATAGTACCACTAAGAACTGTATTATGGATTCCCAACATGCGGAAATTTTCGACCACATTAGAAGTACGGAGACCTAAGTTGATACGGTTGATGAATGATGCCGCTGATTGCTTATTGCCATTCAGCGACGATATAACGGGGATATAATGGACTATATAAGCAACTTAGCAACTTCATTTATTTTCGGCCGTTTAGGTGGAAAAGCGGTATCACCTTGGTTCTAAGTTGTTGTCAGAAATCTGGATGTAGAATGCCCTCTTTTTTTACCCACAGAAATTCAATGAAAATGCAGCCCATTCGCGAAACTGGATCACCTGCCATCTGTGGAATGATCATCAACAAACGGAGAGCTGGTTGGTGGTTGACCTACCCTGAAAAATATGAGTCAATTGGGATGATGATTTCCTTCATATGGAAAAATAGAAAACGTTCCAAACCACGTAACATAAGAGAGTTATGTTTTCATGGAAACTGAAGAATGTGAAAATGTCTGATAGACCAATGGGATAAAATTTGATGAGCCAGCTGTGAATGGGAAGGTTATTTCTTAACCATGAAGTGGTGTGCAGTAGAAGGTGTTCCCATTTTCTTCAAACAAAGCCATATCATTGGAAACCCATAGATTGTTTTTACCGACCCAAAAAGAAAGGGTGATCGACGTGAATTCTTGGTCAAGTGAGATTCCATCAATTTCTGTAGCAGTTCTTATCTATACCCATTCACAAATTCCCATTTGGTTGTTTACCCAGTAAACCAAAGCCTGGGAACTCTCAAGCATGTTAAGAAACCTATCAACGTGGTGCTCACCCAAGTGACTGCCGTATTTGTATTCAACCCCACGTGCAGGTCATGTGAGGTGCCCAAATTCCACCAATTCACATTTCACATAGCTTGGTCTAGTGATACAAAACTGGCTTTGCCTGCCTGGAATAGAATGCCCTTTTTTTTGGTGCTTTATTGCTTTATCATCTTCTGTCCTTTTGTTGCGGGGACCCATTTTCAGACCCATACGACATATTGGGGGAGATGTGAGGCATGTTATGAGGACTACCTGCCCAAGTGCCAAGTGCAGTGAGTGACAAAATCTGAATGCACCATTCCTTCTGTATAGTATGACCTTTTTTTTTGTATAGGTCAAGATGCCATCTAAATTCGATGTTTTCGATTCCGTTGAGCTTGGTTGCAGTTTCCCAACTACCCATTTGATTGGCTTACCATCATGAAAATTACCCATTGGAAAATTACCCATCCATTAGTTGCATGGGTTTCCATCAGTTTCCCAACTACCCATCGTGGCTGGTAGGCGCCATGATATCACCCAAAAGTATCCAAAAGTCACCATTTGGGGTACGCTACTTCTACCTGAAAAAAACAGGATTCCAGGATGGATTTCTTCATTTGGGGTCGGCTATAACTTTGCAAAAAAAACAATTCTTGAGACTGTCATAGATATGGGGAAATGACCCATATCTAAAATCAATGCCGGAATGGGAGATGTTCATGAATTTCCATTGATTTTATGAATATGTGTTTCATATCTAGGGCTTTCTGAATGGATCACCAAAATCCACGGGGAAACTGCAGAAAGCCACCTGGAAGTCCGCCAACTTGGTGACCATCCGTTGTAGAAACCTGGTCCCATAGCTGGATCGCTGGATGGCTAATCATCATGTCCGAATGGCATCACAAATAATAATAGTAACAATAATAATAGTAGTAATAGAACATAATAATAATTTATGGCAATAATAATGGGTTCTATTACTATAATAATAATAATGATAATAATAATAGTAATGATAGTAATAATAATAATGATAATAATAATGATAACAATAATAATAATAATAATGATGATGATGATGGTAATAGTAATAATAATAGTAGTAGAACCAACCATTCGGGTTTGATGGAAAAATCGAAGAAAAACGTAGAGGTCGATGATTTAAGAGCTTATCTTCTTTTGCAATTGCCATAAATCGGGCTGGGAATCTCCTATTTCGAGGCACACCCATATGAGCTATCATCAGGCCTACCCATCTTTTGTCTTTCCGTGATACCCAAACCCTGGGCAGCACAGCCACCAGCTTGGTCAGCAACCCCACCCCGAGCATACAAATACTACTTACCCTCTGGTAATTTGTTACATAGCTATTGAAAATGACCATAGAAATAGTGGATTTTCCCATTAAAAATGATGATTTTCCATAGTTACGTTAGTTTACCAGAGGGTAACATCCATGGTCCATGGTCTGTACATGTTTCATTCCACCTTTAGAGGGAGCCAGTGATCTGTGTTGCCCTGACAACAGCCACCATCAGCTGAAAATGGGCAACTTAAAACCGACACTTCTCATTCATGACATCACCACTCAATACATCCATGACTTCAACCCTTAAACGGAAGTTGAATACGATGGTTTGAAAAGTGGAACATGTGGCCCTTCATGGCAATCCCTAATGCATATCCTACGTGTGTGATTGTGGATCGTTAATTTCCAGCCGCTTGCTCCGATGTCGGGGGACTCTCCATGTACAAATTCACTTCTGGAATTCCAATACCAATCTCTGGCATACCTCATGGAAGTTGACAATTGTGTCTGATTTGCTGGGGCTATGTGTGCGCCATGGCCAAAACATTGTATATGTGGTCTAATTTCTACATACATATATATATATATATGTACACATATATATATATGTATGTATGTAAGTATGTATGCTTTATGTATTTAGGTGTGCATGTGTTTGTTCATTAGACCGGGATCAGATGGTTTTTTGGAACTGTCAGCCATATAGCAAGTACTTCGCGGAATCCTTCGCGGAATCCTGTTTTTCGGCCTCGAGTCTGGATCCCCTTGAGACGTTGCTGTCTAAAATTGGGGATGACCAATCCCCAAAAAGGGGGGAAAAAAAAAGGGCATCTTCCATTCTATCCCTATTGTGTTCCCATTCAATCCTCCAACATCTCTAAGATATGTGGGTTTGTCTGAAAATAGGGTATATTCCCAATTATAGCCATTTAATAGGGATAATGATCAGCAAAACCATTGGGTTTAGGGGTACACTATTTTCAGACAAACCCATATGTCCATCTTGCTGGTTGTGTTCCCATCCAAAATCCCCATTCTCCACGTGGTCGCACCTGGGTGCCTTGTGACCACAGCAGCGGAGGTGTTGGTGCACCGCCATGCGTGTGGGCGACGCAGGCTCCTGCGCTGGGAAGAATGGGGTGAAGTGATGTGAAGTGTCTGATTTTCCAGGATACAGTAATACCACCAAAACATCCAAACAAAAAAATGGGGAAAGTGTTGGATTTCGATGGAAGATACCAGAAAAAATGAAGAAAACATGTTGCAAAATGATGGATGTGAGGCATTTTGGGTTGAAACGCAAGCCTTTGGGCCTTGCTATCGCCTCTGCCGAGGATCAAGATTAGACTGATTAGACATAGGGAAAGACAGCTGGATGATTGGTATATCATCTCCACAAGTTGGACCATGCAACCCTTTAAGAATATAGCTTTATCCCAACTGCTGGAGCCACCAAACATCCAGGTACATCATGTACTTATATACACGCGCTTACATGTATCTACGTATATATATATATACATATGATCATATGTATACAAATAATTAAAAACGTATATATTAGTAGCAGTAGTAGTAGTAGTAGCAGTAGTAGTAATTTCGGAGTTGTTTGGACTCACAGTGTTTAATCATCTTGAGCCGCAAACATCCCAAGTTTGGGTACAATCCAAACTGGACCGGTCATCCAGTTGCCGTTGGGTTCTGGGGATACCCCTCACCTCAATGGAGCAATTCCGTAGGACTGGGGGTCATTTTACAGCATCCCAGTAGACTGGGGCTATGTGAAATTTCAACAACCTCAAATTGGGATTAATGGGGAATGGTTTTAAGCATTGGGTCTATCAAATTAGCCTCTCCCTATGTAAGGTAGCTATGGAAAATCACATTTTTTGGTACGTAAACCATCATAAATCATCTATAGATGGGTCATTTTACATAGCTATGTTAAATAACCAGAGGATTCTTGTTGTACCGTAAACCAAGGTTCCCTAAACGGCAACCATTACTCACATCGCCACCACGTCCCCGGAAAACCGCCTTGCTTCTGCCTCGCAGAATGGGCGACTGTGCTGCCTCCAGAGAGCGCCCGTGGAGGGAAAGGCTGCAGGGCGAAGTCTGTTGAAACCTGGTATTTATCTTCACTTCGGCTGTTTGCCCAAAGTCTCCTGTTTAGGCTCCTCTTCTCTTGTCCGTTTTTCTTTTCTTTTCTCTTTTGCTTGTCAGTTTTCTTTTCATTCTGCACTCAATCGGTCCTTTTCCTTTTGCTTTATCTTGTCTTTCCATTCTAATTCTTTATTGTCATTTTCCTTGCCCTGTCTCTTTATGTATCTTTCGTGTTCTTTGTTTTCATAGTTGCTTCCTTTTCCTCTTCATTGTTCCCGCTCTCTCTCTCTCTCTCTCTCGCTTTCTTTAACATTCTGCAGTTGTTTCTTATCTTATGCTTCTTCCCCTTGTCTTTCTTCTTCGCTTTCTCAGTGGTTCATTTTGGCATGCTAAAATGCGACTAATTCCACTGAAGTCGACCCCTCATAGAAGTGAGCCCTGAAGGATTCTCATACATATGTGTATATATATATATACATATGTATATACATATATATATATACATATGTCAATGATGGGAGGTCTATTGGTCTCCAGGAAAAAAAAAACTGGCTGACCTATCCTAGAGGTTTCTTGATCTGGGCTTGTGATTAACTTCCAGTAGCCTCACATCATGAGAACAATCCAGGCCCGCATCCCTGTGGGGAATCCATGGCCGCTTTTGCTAACTTGGCACCAACATCAGCCGACTTTCGTTGTACCTGTGTGTGTCCCAAACCTAGGGGGCATATGTTCTAATCCAGTGTCAACACGCACCACCGCAAAAGAAAGACTCAAATAAAAACATGCAGACACAGATATGGTGACTGCCAAGCTAAAAGCACGAGCCAACCTACCCAAAAGGATGCGCACCCACAAAACAAAAGAAAATCCAGACATCTTCCCCAATTATATAATGGGAAAATGACTGGAAATGGCCTACCCCTAGCTTTCATGGGGGACAAAGCCCAACATCATATTGATGGTTGCTGCAATCCCCTTATATCCCCATTTACAGATTGTGTTCCCGTTATAAACAATCCCCACATAACAACAATGGATAATCAATGTCAGGTATACAAGATTGATATCGATAAACACATACTATATTTGTACCTCTATATATAATATTGGATCATCAATATAAGGTGTTGATTCAAAATCAATGCAAACTTCATTCATGGCCCCTTCTGAAAATTGTGATTTAATCACAGCCTTATAAGCCATTACATACATATGTATGTATGTATATATATATATATATGTACACAATTGGGGATATCCCATAAGCAAGTGGCTTATGCCATGGTTGTTAACTACTTTCAAGCTGGGATTACCCCTGTCTGGAAATATAGATGACAAAGGATATTGAGCATATGAATCCCTATCAACTTTTAATTCTGTGTTCATATATCAATTTCAAACATATTCATATCCAAGAAAACAGAGAATCCCAACATATGGCGAATGGTTTTCATTGTATTCGTGGCTAACATCCCATTGCATTTTTGATGCCTTATCCCCAAATATCCCAATAGTAAATCCCAACCTTCCAACCTATATCCGTAGAATTCAGAACACATTCCGCGATACAAGTAGGGATGATCATTGTTTGTTTCCTGGTCAAATCTTGATTTGCTATTGCTAATTCCTTGTATATATATATACACGTATAATTACATATAATTTCACCATGTATATTTTATCGATTTATCGGAAAATCCCATATATATATGTGTATGTATATATATATATATGTATGTCATATAGCGATGTTCCTATCATTTTTTCCTACAAAAAAAAAAAACGAACACCGCTGTGATTCAGCGGGTGCCCCTCGCCTCAGTGCGGCCGCAGCTACTGCATCCCAGCTCCGAACGATCCGACCCAACGTCGCAGATGGGAAGCTCCTGAAACGATATGCTCGGTGGAAACACGGAGAAAAAAGACCCAACTTTTGGGGATTTCACCAGCAAAACTTAAGGGACTCCACCAGGAAAAGTTGGGATTTCACCAGCAAAACTTAAGGGACTCTACCAGGAAAAGTTGGGATTTCACCAGCAAAACTTGGGACTCCACCAGGTTTTAAGTTGGGATTTCACACATCTTGGGCATTAAAACACCCCCAAAAAAAATACAAACACAGCTACGGTCTGAAGACGAAAACCACGAAAACCTTCAGGAATGACCCAAATATGCGGCTTTCAAGAGTTTGATGTGTGTTTGGTCAGATGGGTTTGTCTGAAACTAGTGTAGCTCCAAATTTGATGCTTTAAGACATCGATTTCTCTTATTATTCCATGATCATTTGGGAGGTACCCATTTTGGGACAAACCCAAATATCTTCATGTTAAATCCCTTTACGTAGAAATTTATGTATAAATAGATATATATATATATATGATTAGATATACCTAAATATATATATATATATATGTATAGATACAGAAATATATATATAGATATGTATATAATTAGATATACCCTATATAATAAAGTCCATGATATCCCCATGAAATTCCCGAATCCAACTCCCAACGGCCTGGCGGGGGCAGCAGCACCACACAGAGTAGAGCTCACAACTGCAGTTGCCCACCTACCACGAATTTCCCACGGAATCCCCGATTTAGGGAAGAAACGTACACTCTGCGTATTTATTACATGTATATATTATATATATGTGTATATATATACTATATATATATATATATAGCCACATTGTACGTATGTATATCTAGGTAGGTAGATAAGTAGGCAGGTAGGCATGGAGATGGGCAGGCAGGTAGGCAGGCAGTCAGGTAGGCAGGTGGATAGGTACGTATGTACTCTGATGGTCAGTGTATACAGTTGGCGACTTAGTCCATGTGGTTTGGAGAAGAATTGGTTTTTGTTGGTTCCAGTCCCATTTTCTTACTTAAGATCGCATGTTTCAAACGCAAATCTCGAGTTTGGTTGTTTCAAGCCCCTTGTCTTCTCTTGTCAAATAATGCCATCCCAATCCCACCTTCAGTGCACACCATGGCTCTTCCATGGGTGAAAGCTTCACGCCACCAACGATGGAACCGTCGCAACCAGTTCCAACTTTGGAAGTTGGTGGGAAAAAAGGACAACGAAAATCAGTGTCAAAGCTACGTGCAAATCCTAATCTTCAATTGTTGAGCTCAACATGCGTTTGTTTCACCTCAAAATACGGCAATCTTTGGTGACTCCAAATTCAGAAAAAACATCGGTCTTTGAGACCAAAGCCCTTCTCGTTTTCCAAGAAAAAAGCGAAAAAAAAAACAACTCTTGGCGCTGACCACGGCTGAACTGGAGCCGAAAGGCGCTGACCACGGCTGGAGATCATCGGTCCATTCCAGAACTTGGGGCAGAGCTTAGGGCACCAAAAAAATGAACATATTCTCAGCCACTAAAATGATGATAGTTGTATTTATGTCCATTTGTTTGGTTAAAATGCACATATTCTACTAAAATGATGATAGTTGTACTTTAACCACAAGAAGTTCATGCAGAAACGCTGTGAATCTCAGCCAGATTCACCTTGATGATGGTTTCGCGGCGGAAAATCATTGTGTCAATGGGAGAACCAACTCTGAATTTCCATCACCTTGGGTGCGGTTAAGCCAACAGTGTACCAGTCCGTTACGTATAAAAAACCTATGGCGGAGAAAAAAACACTGCCGTGGGATTTTTTTTCCCAAGAACTTGACCGACGGAAGCAAAGATTGCTATAGCCACGATAATTGAATGGGATTGCTCAATAGCTATAGCTACACTATAATAATAATACTTAGAATAGTAACTATAGTGAATATAATGAAACTATCATTAATGTGGGTAAAACAATGTGATAAACCACCCATGACTGGGAATGGTAAACATACCGCCTATAAATATGGTGATGACCGGGGGATTGTGCAAATGACATTGTTTTACCCACATTACTCAAACATATTCACTATAGTTAAGGTGCAAGTACTAAATGGGATGCTGCAAGAAAGTCACCGGAATTTCATGGAGAAATGATTCCATGTCTTCGAGAAATCTCAGGCAAAGAGAACAGAGAAGTATGAAACCTGTCTTTCAGATGGGGAAAATTCTTGGATAGCCTGACTGGCAATAGATCAAGGAAAAATAAGAAATAAGATCTATTGCCATTGACCATCTAGAATTTTGTGAGATACACCCATGATATACGTTTGTATGTGTGTATATATATATATGTGTATACTCCATCCCATCATTTGTTGTGTCGCTTCGTAGAATAATTCGAATGTAGTGCCTTGCTGGAGGATCCATGATTAGATAGTGTATATATATATATTTATATAATTATATAATTATATATATATATAGTCCAAAATTAGATAGTATATATTATATATGGTCCTTATTATATATATATAGACATATATATATATCCATTGAAGTCCATGACTTTCCCACACCTCCATGGATTTGCCGTGACCTGCACCCCGCCGTCAAGACATGGACGGCTGGACCATACATCTTTTTCAGCTCCTTACCGCAGAAAGGGGGGGATATGATGGGCACCAACAAATACATACCCACTGATTTATGGTTGGGGATATTGGGGATATCAATACAATCAGATATTGGGGATATGGTTGGGGATATGGTTGGGGATATGATTACATTGCACTGATTTACATTAAATTGCATTGCGTTGAATTTAATTTGCATAGCACAACATTGTTTTTAGCATAACTTCACTTGACACAACATAAGATAACATTGAAAAAAATGAAGAAACAATGCAATACGATACAATACACAACAGTACAATGCAGTACGGTACGGGACGGTACGGTACAGTCCTGTACTTGGATTCAATTACAGTACATTGCAGTGCGTACAAATAATGTTGAGTAAGCGATACGTTGATATGTATATATAATTTTATATATATATATTAAAACATGGAACTAACTTGAGTACCTCAAAAAATATGTGCATGTATATCATATCTATATATGAATATATATATATACATGGTTGAATGCCTCAAACGACCTAAAATTGGTGCATTGGCTAGGTGGGTAAAGAATTGGATGTTGATCAAAAAAATGATATATAGGGGGAGTTGACCATCAAACACGATATCAACCAAAAAGAATGGGCAGGGGTCAAGATTGAAATCCCTGAGAAACACAGAAAGAATGGCATCTTACTCTGGAAAAGTAACCGATCACCTATCTTGTTTTGGGGTCTTGAGCTAGGCCAAGTTTTGGGGGACTGAAATGCACCTGAATTTCACCTGTTTGTGTGAAAGATCAGCATCGCAATTCAACGAACAATGGACATCTAGCCCACAAAAAATATGGATTCTCCCAACCAAGCAAATCCTCGGCTGCTTCTCCAGAAACCTGAAAATTACCGGATGAAGTAGTCACTGGGTGCTATGATTCTGCCCACCCAGATGACACAAGCATTGTTGATTGGTACGACCAAGTCTTTTTGGCCGCCAACTTTGGGACACCCGCCTCCAAGGCTGACTTGTGGCTTAAAATCTCATAATTTCCAGTTTTTGTGACTGAAATCACCACTTCTTCATTTTTCTTCGTTGTTTTTTAATGTTTTTTGAACATCGCCACGGTCTCCTCGCACTCGATGAAGCCATAGCCACTTTCGGGTTTGAACACCTGCGGGATCCATCTATATGTGCGCATGCATAAACATATACATAAACATATACGTGTACGTATACACATACACAAACACAGACATAGACATATACAAAGACATATACATAGACATAGACATATACATAGACATATACATAGACATAGACTTAGACATATACATAGACATAGACATATCAATAGATATATACATTTACATATACATACACATATACACAGACACAGACATAGACATAGACTTGTACATAGGCATAGACATTTACATATACATAGACATAGACATATACATAGACATAGACATTTACATATACATAGACATAGACATATACATAGACATAGACATATACATAGACATATACATTTACATATACATATACATAGACATTTACATGTGCATATACATGTATGTACAGTAATTATATATATATGTAACATATATATGTCTCATATATATATATATATATTTAAATGTATCATATATGTGTATCATATATAGGTATCACATATATATACATAAAATTGTATGAAATTTTAATGGTGTAAATATTGCCAGGGCAGCGTAGACCCAGATTTTTTTTCACTACAGAATCCAGCAAACATGTCTAGACCACGAGTGCGACGCTAGGATCGATCTCCAGTGATACATTTGGGACTTAAGATCCTGTGCCTGGATTTCGTATCACCCCACAGCGGGAGAGTGAAGGTTGATAAGGGGCCAAACTTCGAAATGTGAAGACCCTGGTGCTGACTTTTAGTGGGTCTGGGGGTAACCCAAGATATAAAAACATTTTTGTCCTTGTACCAAAGGGTGTGTGTTTGTGTGTGTGGGGTTTCTGTAGAGCATTTTCTGAAACAGAGGGGGTATGCAATAAAGAATTTGTAACGAATTAAAACATATCAAAACCAAGAATTGCAGAGAGCAAAAATAGGTCGAAGCAGATAGGTCGAAGCGAGCTTTGGATATATTTGCTGAGCTATGCCTGGGTGCTGGGGGGGGGCTCTGCATTCTGTAGAGGGTCATTTTGTAGAGGGGTGTGCATCCTGATTTTGCGGAGGCATCAACTTAACCATTTTTGTCGAAGGAGCTGTGCTATTGAGGCTTTTCTATTAAATTCCGAAATAAATTGAATAATTGAATATGTAGAATGTTCTATTATTGATATATAGAATCTATAAATAGAATATGTGTGATTTCGGATGTTGTAGATGTTTTTCTTTTCATGTGTGTTTCCTAACTCTGTCGAACCACCCAACCACCCAGCATGCAGCTGAACGCCCTTCGAAAAAGAATGCCCACCCATCAGTGAATTCATACAGCCCACGCCCCCGCTGATTTTGTGGAGAACATATTCCAAGGAAGAATAAGTATACGTGTGTATATGTATATATATATATGTATTAAATATACGTGTCTACATATTTACTCATATATACATATTGTAAACCAGGTTGCTGCAATAATATACATATATATATATATACCCGAAATCGTGGCGATTCCAATCAATGATAAAGGGATTTGCCCTAAAATGGGATGCATGGAATCCCTAAAAATCGTAATCGAGTTGTCGAAAAATCGCCCGTCACAAAAAGGGGTTTGTTTAAAAATTGGAGATATCAGATATCCCAAAAAGTGGTGGCATATTTTTCATGTCGAAGACTATGAGGAACCATGGGATTTTTGTGTTCAGGATTTTGGGCTCCAAACCTTGAAACAACCCAATTTTCCAATATGCATCACGAAAGTTCTTTTGTGATTAATAACCCACAACTGGAATCAAAAGGCAAAAAGAACATGTGGGTTGAATTATATATAAAGATGAATTATATATAAAGAAACTTATTGCAGTACTGCAGTACCCTGAAATTTGATGTCAATATTGTAAATATAAACACTGGGATCATCCCTATTAAAACCCAACAAATAGGTTTAAGAGAGGGAAATTCATCAACCAAGAGATGCTGGAATGCTCCCCAAGCCCATGGTTTCCAGGATTTTGGGGTGCTTTCCAGGGACTTTGTGGTATCTTTGGGTGGACTAAAAGATGTTTTTGCATGGCTTTTGACAGGAAAACATGGAAAAGTGTGGACGTTCATACTAGTTGCAAAGGTTTCTTGTATTGTATCCCCATGGTCTCCCCATTTCATGATTTTTTTCCATCAAATATCCCATTATAAACCCTAGATGTTTACCCATCGTGGGAATATACCAATCCAATGATCAACCAAGTACACTCCCAGCTAATCTCTGGGCAAACCAATAGTGATGGGTATGGAGTTCGCCCCGCCATGTATATTCCATCACTGTACCCACTTGGTTTTTTTGTTCCTACGGGGACTTGTTGGTAAGGCCGTGAAACCCTCATTCGCCAGTTGTACCATGTCATCTGTCACGATTTATATGGAGGGCAAGATCATCCTACAGAATCT